TTCTTTCTTTCTTTCTTTCTTTCTTTCTTTCTTTCTTTCTTTCTTTCTTTCTTTCTTAAAATTATTTTTTAGTCCTTTGGGTGGGTAACTGCAAGTATAACACCTCCATATAATTTTAATTGTGTTCCTGATTTGATAATTTAATTCCTGATTTTTTTCTTTTCTTGTTATACAGTGTCTTTTTGGCCAATGTTCTAATGCCAACAGAAATAAAGTTGGAGAGAGGGAACAACATTGTCTTGAACCCTTCATTACACTACATGTTTGTGACAGAAGTCCATTTACAATGTTTATAGCTGTATGTTCTTTATAAATACTCCTGCATAAGAAAACTCAGATTACAATTAATTTTTTCAAAGTCATAAATAAGAAAATCCATTTTAAATTATCAAAGTGTTTCTCTGCATCCAGAAAAAATCATAGCCAGTTTCTTATTTGTTTCTTATTTGCCTGATTTATATTATCAATAGCATTCAAAATATGTCAGAGATTATCCCTCATGTAACACTTTGGAACAAATGTAATCTGATCAGGATATATTAATGGATGGTTAGAAGGCCATTTGGTCTCTTTGCAAGTATTGCCATAAAAAGCATACCGTTTTACATTCAATAACAAAATTGTCTATAGAATTCCTCTAGAGCTGGATCACTTCCTAAAAGCATCCTGCCATGAAGAAGAAAGTACCTGATATTGTTAAATCTTATTCATTACCTAACTTAACGGTTTGATCAAAGTTTGCTGGAACATCAATTTTATGAACTGTACTGTGTTTAAGTATTCTGTAATCTATTCCAGATTTGATATACTGTATGGTTACTCTATTATCTGGAATAATATCTAACAAAATTGATCTGTTACTTCCTCTTTGTTAAATTATATGAGTTACCACCTCAGAGATATGCAATAATCCTTTTCTCTTGTTCTTTTGCCATTTATATGCAACCAGTATATGGTTAATTACTTTTTTCAAAGTGCTCAGGTTTAACAAAATTGATCTTCTTGTAGGTGGCATTTATGTCCATTAAGTTGAATAACTTTGGACTTCTGTTCTAAATCCCTGAAAAGGCATGTTGGCTGATATAAATCTATCAAACCCATCCTTGTTTGTTATGGGAGATTATCCTTGCTATGAGCTAGAAACCTTTGTGAACTTCCCATACACGTGGTTTTTTGGGCATTGAACTTCTCACCCTTTCCTTATTGAGAGTTTCATTAATTTCATCAAGTAACAATTTTCTCAACTTACTCTCTTCATTCAAATTTTTGTTTTACAATTTAACCAACATTCTCTCTAGAGATAATTTTTCACAAACAAAGAGTTCCTAAATATATGACAGATACAATATGCAACCTGTAAGTTTATTAAGTGAAGAATACATGAGAAAGCTGTTGTGCAGAGTGCAGCAATACTCCCAGGAAATGGCCAAAAATACACACCAGCATGAGAGAGATTTAAAGAATGCAATGTCCATATCTTGTTCTCCAAAGAAATCCAGCCAGAAGATATAAAATATCTGGTTGTTTATTGAGAAAAATACAAACTACATAAAATACAAGTTTTATGCAAAATATAGGAAAAAATCACGACTTCTCATATCTTTGGCGTCCAAGACTTATCCACTACACAAGTACAACAAAGTCTCTAGCCAAAAAACTCTCAGAGAAGAGGTACACTACTTGATTATTAGTTACTACTACATAACCCATAAAACTGACTACATTATGGCTAAAACTCTACTGGGCAGCTGGGCATGTAATCCTCCCATTTTATGGCCACCCCTTGAGTAACTAGCATACAGACGCCAATAGGTGGCAGTAAATAGCAGTATATGTACCAACTAACAATAATAATTTCACACATGACTTGCTTTTCCAGTCTAAACACTGTTTTGAAGATAACGAGCTGCACTTATTCCCATGGGAAATTCTAACAAAAGCCAGTTTGGTCTAGTGGTTAAGGCCCCAGTCTAGAAAGCAGTAGAATGTGAGTTCTAGTCCTGCCATTGGGCCAGTCACTCTCTCTCAGCCCGACTCACCTCACAGGGTTGTTGTTGTGGGGAAAATAGGAGGAGGAAAGAGTATTAGGTATGTTCACTGCCTTGAGTTATTTATAAAAAGAATAAAGGCAGGATTTTAAAAAAAAATAAGAAAAATGTGTATTTAATCCTGTAGGTAAAGAATAGGGGTATGCATTTATGTATATATAATGCATTTGTG